GTTGGGCCTGTAATTCAGTCACCTGCCTGCTAGCACTGTCCCACCAGCATCCAAAGCCACAGGCAGCATGTGTGTGGAGGGGCTGTTGACTTTTTTTTTCCATTAAATTTCTAACCAGTATAGTGGCACACACCTTTAATCCCAGAAGCAGGCAGATCTGTGGGTTCAAGACCAACATGATTTATGTAGTGAGTTCCAGGACAGCCAGAGATAGTAAGACTCTCTATTAAAAAAAATTAGTAAATTTATTTTTTTTGGCTGGGCAGTGGTGGTACACGCCTTTAATCCCAGCACTTGGGAGGCAGAGGCAGGGGGATTTCTGAGTTCCAGGCCAGCCTGGTCTACAGAGTGAGTTCCAGGACAGCCAGGACTACACAGAGAAACCCTGTTTTGAAAACCAAAAACCAAAACCACAAAAAAAAAAAAAAAAATTTTTTTTTTTTGTATGGGTGTCTTGCTTCCATATATGCCTATGTACAATGTAGATGTGTGGTGCCACTGGAGGCCAGGAGAGGGCATCAGATCCCCTGGAGTCACAGATGTTTGCAAGGCACCATGTGGATGCAGAGAAAACAAGTTCTGTCCACCTGTTTCCTTAACCTCCAGCCTGGCTACCGACTTTTGAACAAGGATTTCAGTCCCTAGACAGGCTTGTGGGAATGGATCCCTGCGCTGAGAGAGGGAAGAGAAGGTGAGCTGGGTAGACTGCATAGCAAGTAAACGAGGCAGTGGATGGTCTGACCAGTTAAGTGGGAAAGTGTTTGACAGACATCAAGAGCGGAGATGTGGGGCTTTGAGATGGAGCCCACAATATACCACATGTTAGCAGCAGCTGATCCTGAAGAAATAGCACAACGCCTCAGATTCTAAAGCAGAACCACTACTTTGAGACACTGCTCATAAAACGGGCCTCCATCAGTAACATGGCGTGTAGAAAGCACTAGCCTCAGGAAACACTGTGCAGGAAGTCCTCCCTGCACAGCACCTCTTGGTTAATACCTAGGCCTTGAGCTCACTTAAAACTGGCTCACTCAGCTACTTAGAAAACCCATCAGAGTGGAAATGGAAACTGACCTCAGGTCTTGGCATTCTCAAAACTCTTAGTGTACTCATATCTTCCCCTGCAGTACAACCAAATGGGAGCAGATGCTGGAGGACTAAATCCAACACCTGTGCGCAAGAGCCTAAGCGTCTCAAGCTGCTGTCTCAGGTCCAGATAACTGGGCAGATCCAGGGCTTGACTTGTGAGCCATACAGGAATAGGGTAAGTGCTGTCCTTGGTACTGCTTAGCTTGAACTTGGAGATGTCTGTTCTTTTCCACCTGAGCCTGCCAAACTCCCGTGTGACCAGTGAATTATGGAGATGCTGAGAGACGCTTACAACAGCCAGGGTGTCAGAATCTCTGAGCTCAGTGCTTCTTCTGATATAAACTGTTTGCTTAGAAACATCAAATAATTCTTTTTCTTTGGTCTGGTTTTTGAGTCAGAGTCCAGGTTGGCCTGGAATTCAAGATCCTCCCGTCTGAGCCGCTCAGGTGTTGGATACAGTGTGCTCCACCACACCTGGAGTACAGGTTTTCTTGACATATGTCAAGAAAAAGACTGGAAAACACTTTGAAAGCCCCTCCCTAGAATGACGTGGTTCTGCACACTTACAGTTCTAACAACATTGGCAGAACCTACCTCAAAATAAAAAGTACTGAGTCCCCTTTCCTAGACACTAACACCCACTCTAGGATGCAGGCTGGAAGGAACACAGAACATTCCTGATGTGGAGGGTGACTGAAAGAGTGGCCCCATAGGCTTATAAATTTGAATGCTTAGTCGTCAGGGAGTGGCAGTGCTACTTGCCATGCTCCCCGTTATGATGATAGCAAATGTTTTAAACCTCAGCCCCAGTTAAATGCTTTGTTTTGTAAGAGCTGCTGTGGTCATGGCGTCTCTTCACAGCAACAGGACAGTGACTTAAGACTGTCCCCTACAGGCTAGTGACTGACCAGAGGCCTAGTTCAGGGCTACAGCAGTGCCATTTCTAGCCAGCCTGGTGGGAATGCACAGATGGGGCATCTCTGTCCTCAGGCCCTACCTTGTCATAGATGGTGTCCACCACGTTGTCCTCTTCGCTAGTGCCCAGCAACTGGGCCAGGAGCTTACGCCCGAAGTGCAGATAGACAAGGCCCGCACTGCTCAACTTGGTCTGCCATGGCTTCCCGGGGCACAGGGAACTCATGGTTTCTGTAAACGTCCTGAGGAGCACAGGGAGGGGCTGAGGTGAAGGAATGGGTCCATGAGTCTGTATGTGCAAGTTCACATGCAGAGACCTGGGTATCAGCAGGATGGGGAGACGGGAAACCACTTGAGAAGACGTTAGCATTTCCTTTGGTGCCAACACAGGCCTTGGCTGAAAGCTGCTACTCCCGAATTCCCGTGACAACAGTTCCATTCATCATTGTATGTTGAGTTTTGTGTTCTGAACATTATGGAGAAAAATCAAACATCCTGCCCTTTCAAGTTCATCTGTGGGAAGGGGACGAGTGGCAGAGCAACTGTAGCTAACTGTCACTATCTGTGGTTCCCAAGGGCCTGAACTCCAGATTTCAAATTCTTTATGTAAAATGGGGCAGTGTTTGCCTGTAAACTACAGACGTCCTCGTGTGTGTGTGTGTGTGTGTGTATGTGTGTGTGTGTGTGTAGTTTATTTGTTTTTGGAGGCAGGGTTTCTCTGTGTAGTCCCGGTTGTCCTGGAAATCATTCTGTAGACCAGGCTGGCCTCAAGCTCAGAACATCTACTGTTTTGGTTCTCAAGGACTGGTATTAAAGATGCAGGTCACACCTTGCTGCATTTTATTTTTCCTTGATAGGAATGGGTTCTATGTGATCCAGGCTATGCTCAAACTTGCTAAAAGAGGATGACCTTTAACGCATGACCCTCCTGCCTCTACTTGGGAAGTGCTGGGGTTACAGGTGTACGCGGTGCACCTTACTCCTTCTCCTGTATCTTTTAGAAAATAAAAAGCCAGGCATGTTAGTGCACACCTTTAATTCCAGCACTCAGGAGGCAGAAGCAGCCAGACCTCTGTGAGTTTGAGGCCAGCCTGGATTACAGAGGGAGTTCTAAGACAGCCAGTGCTATAGAGAAACCCTGTCTCAAAAAAAACAAAACAAAACGAAACAAACAAGCAAACAACAGAAGGGAGCAAATTTTCCTAAATTGGAAGGTGAAGTTATGAGATTTTGGACACAGGAAAGTGAAGAAACACACACAAGAGACACTTATCTTTTAGGAAAGGTGGGGACATGCACTGAAGTGTGAGTGCGTGTCAGAGGTGAGGGATGAGGGTGCAATGGTACTGTGATATACAACATGTAACAGCCCATTCACATGTCTGCTGCTGTGATAAAACACCTGACAAAAACCTACTTTGGGGACAAAAAGGTTTATCGTAGCTCACAACATCCGGCTGCAGTGCATCCCAGAGGGGAAGGTAGGAGAGACTTAGAACAGCAAGTCACATGTCACCCAGACAAGAGCAGAGAGACAACAGCGCATGCATTCTGCTAGTGCTTGGCCAGCTTCCTCCACACACACAGCCCAGGGATTAGTGCCTCCCACGGTGGGCAGGACCTTACAAGGCAATCAAAGCCACCCCACAAACAAGGCCAACTGCATCTGGATAGTCCCTCAAGGAACAAATTCCCAGGTGATTCTATAATCTAAATTGTGTCAAGTTGATAATTAAAATTAACCATCACGGGGCTGGAGACAGCTAAAAGAGCCGGCTGCTCTTGCAGAGGAGGCAGGTTCAATTCCCTGCATCCATGCGGTATCTCACAACTTCTTTAACTCCAATTCCAGGAGATCCCGACACCTTTTTTCCGACCTCTGTGGACACCAATGCACTTGGTACACAGACATGAATGCAGACAAGACATCCCTACACTTAAAGTAAAATAAAAACCAAGCAAAAGGCCACCTCAGTAGATTGTCCTTGAACTAGAAGGATCCAGCAGCCTGCGGCAAGGGCAAGTGAATGGAAAACAGCCGGTGTGAAAAAAAAGTTATGGCAGGAGGGACCTGATGGAGGTTCCAGGCCCAAGGAGCAGGACCGAAGCAAGCTTTAATTCCCAGAGCGATAAATTGCTTGGCTTCAAGATGAGGCAGTGGTCTTTGCTGTCATGGACTTGGGCAGTGGGTGGCGGGTCTGGAGCACTAAAGTTAAATTAAGAAAGTCGGAGAACAGGCAGCAAGTTTGTGAACTCACCTCTGGTGATGATCATAACGGTGTCTCTGAGGGTTGTACTCGCCGCCCACATCCACCACGATGTCACACGAGGCTAGTTTCTCAGGATCCCGAGTCCGCACAATCTCTGCGTTCTGCAGACACAGAAGAAGGGGATGTCGGGTAGGAGTCAGAGGATTAAGGTTGGGCTTCCAGGGCGTGTCGTGTCTCAGGGAAGGTGGTGCTCAGGCTTCTGCAGCATCAGAGGGGATCCGGTTAGGTTCGCTGGTTCATACCCTGTACTCGGGCAGGAGGCGGAGCAGCGCGCAAGCCAGAGCCTCGTCGCAGTGGAAGGTGCCGTTGTGCGTCCCGATTCGGGGCGGTGCCATGAGGTTGTTGCAAGGTCTTTTAGGGGGTGGATCGGGTTCTGAGCCAAGCATGCGGTGCTGGGCTTGGAGAACTGACCGGAGCGACAACAGTGTTAGGATACCACGCAGGAAGCCTCTACCCATATGGTTCCCTCCAAAGGAAGGTCGACCCGGAAGAGGAAGTCCCTGGTACAGCTTCACTTCCGCCTGCCATCCGTCCCCACGGCAACCGGGAGGCAAAAAAACCCGCGCGCTATTTAGTGCAAGCCTTCTTACAGCTTCTCAAAACGCTGTTTGGAACCTCTAAAAGGCAGCGTGTCTAGTCCAGTTTGGGAGCTCTTGGCAAAAGTACACCCCCTGGGTACTCCCGGTTCACCACCGGTCCCTTGTTTAACGCAAGAAAAGACCACCATTTGCGCAGCTGGCACATTTATTAACATTAAACACAAGACCCTCTTCCCAGATACTTTCCCAGGAGGCCATTGCCGGAAAAAGTCCCAGGCCCCTTGAAAAAGGGTTCCTCTCTGCTTCATTTCTACAGCACATTCTCACGCCTTGGCAGTAGCCTGCGTTGCCCCCAGGGCTGTGAGCTGCTGAATCTTCTGGCTCATCATTTCCATGACAGCTACAAGAAAAGAAGGAGCAGTCACATCTCAGTGAGAATGTGTTGGAGAAGTCAAGGTTAAGAACACTGACAGTTAAATTGTCGGGGACACAAATATACAGTAGATTTAGAGTCTACACCATTGTCAGTATACTAACCACTGGAATGTAAAAACAAACACATTAGCCATAACCAGAAAAGACTGTCATGTGAGGGCTGACAACATACAACACCGGAGGCCATATGCAATCCCCAACACCACACTTACAAAATAAATCAGGGGGCTGAGCCGGGTGGGTGCTTTGGCTTCACGGACTGTTGTGGCCATTGAGTCTCATCCACTCCCTAGTCTATACTCTATAGTACAGAATGAGGTTCTGTCTCCAATAGAAATAAGCTCCCCATCTGCTTTAAAATCAAGACCATTTTTAAACAAAACAAAACACTACCGGAACAGCTTCCTACCCCCTTTCCAGACTGATCTAGTTAGCCTGAACTGGACCTACACTTTCTTTTTAAACTCCCGGGCAATTGCTAGTGTTATTCCAGCAGATTCCTCTGCATTTATAGTCACTTCATCCCGACTCATTAACAGACTCTTTCTTCTCCATCACTCAAACCCTTACAGACATTATATTCACTTTGAGACTATAGGTAATAATATGCCAGACATCACCGGGCGGTGGTGGCGCACCTCTTTGATCACAGCACTTGGGAGACAGAGGCAGACAGATTTCTGAGTTCGAGGTCAGCCTGGTCTACAGAGTGAGTTCCAGGACAGCCAGAGCTACACAGAGAAACCCTGTCTCGAAAAAATATATATATATATTTATTTTAGGTATATGAGTCTTCAGACACACGAGAAGAGGGCATCAGATCCCATTACAGATGGTTGTGAGCCACCATGTGGTTGCTGGGAATTGAACTCAGGGCCTCTGGAAGAGCAGTCAGTGCTCTTAACCCCTGAGCCATCTCTCCAGTCCCTGCCTGTGTCTTCTGTAAGCACATTAAATGCTAGTAACTGCTGAACCTTTTCTCTAGCCCCTGTTGTTTCTTGAGACATGAACTTGGTATTTACTCTTGGTATTCCTGTCTTGCTAGACAGTCCTGGAATTCACAGCAATCCTCCTGCTTTAACCTCCTCAGTCTTGGGATTACAGATATGTACCATCATGCCTTATGCAATGAATATTCTTTACCATGGAGGTAGAAAGCCTCAGGCAGTTGGTTCCCTGGGGGTTTGTGAAATGGCTTAACAGCTAAAAGCCACACAAGCCTGATGACAGAGTTTAATCTCTAGGACCCAAAGTGGAAGGAGAAAAACAATTTCTGAAAATTTTCTTTCAACCTTCCCATGTACTACACC